CCCACTTGCAACCAATTACTACTGATTGTAGCTAGTTACTGCTCAGTTGCAACACAGTTGGTACTCTGGTTGCAACAAGGTATGATTGCAACTTGATATGATTATTGTGACCAGATGTAAACAATACATAGTCTTATAACTAGTTGTAACTCGGTAGTATATAGAGTTGCAATCAATAATACACAGATATGCAACTCACACAAAAATAATAAAATATATCAATATTGGATCTAGTTCTGTTAAGCACATTTTTTTGAATAAGACGCAGCAAACGGTTTGTTAATCGAGGTTATGGTTTAGGAGAAATTTTATTTCAAAGAATCGAACTCACAAAAGATTCCATCCAGCATGCATGCAGACTGCTAGTTGTCTTTGTTGCACGTGACTAACCATGAGTGGTGAGAAGTAGCAAATTAGCTATTGGTTGTCTCAGGTGCATGCATGCTGGTTGGTTAGGACTCGTGCGATAGGTCAGTTACATTCTGGTTGGGTATGCCACTTGCGACTGCATTGGTCGGCTGGTTGCAGCACCGTTTATATACCAGTTCCAACTCATCCCTTCAACCGATTGCAACTTCCGTCGTACATAAATTGCAACCTTGGTGGTAGGCCAGTTGCATTCCGGTTGGATAGGCCAGTTGCTACTGCCCTGGACGACTAGTTGCAGCACTGTTTTTATACCAGTTCCAATTCAGCCCGTCAGCCGATTGTAACTTCAGTCGTACATAAATTGAAACCTTGGTTCCGACCCCAAAATCGAGTTATCCCGCACAAAACGACACCAAAAATTCAAAAATTACCGGTCCAAATCGCGTCCACTCTACTAGTTGAGCAGCACCAAATCGAACAAACAATTCAGATGCAAGTTTCCACTGCTAGCTGTTCAGGCTACTCGTGGCCGTGTGTGCACATGCGAATCATAGTGTGCGAGTATTTGGGATCTAACAAGTGATCTACAGAACGGCGGAGGTGATCTCCACAGAAAATTTCGCTTGCTTTTAGTAAATCTGGAGACGGAAATTAAGATATTATCGAGTAATTTTTATGGGACTTGCCGAGTAAATTGAAGAGGGCATAACCCCAAACAACGCATCAAATAGGAACACGATGGGGGAAACGAACGAGCTTGAGAAGAATCGAGTGGATGGGTACCAAATTGCTCACGCTTCTACGCAGACGATAGGCTCGTGCAAAATCAAGCAACGCGACGCCACGGGGGATTAATCCCCGCACCCCAGCAGCAAACATTCCTCAAAGGAAGCATGAACTTGAAAAATCCGCATCAGCAACCACCAATCTGGGTCCCAAAATCGCGTCGAGCAGCAAACGAATCCAGCATCGCGATGAACTAAGCAGAAGCGGGGCTGCGGGGATGGGGATCGCGCCGAGCAAATCGGAGGAGCGAGCAAGAGGACCAGAGCCTTAGGTTTTTTTTGGGGGACGTGATCGTACTGAAGAGGAGCACGGAGAGGTTCGAGTCGCCGACGTCCTCCGCCCCGCGTCGGTGAAGGCCTCGTCTGTGGTAGACGGCGCCGCCGCGCGCGATCCTGACCGCGAGTGGGCCATGTCTCCCTCGTTCGCACGCTCGCTGTGTGCCTGCCTCGCTGCCTGGTGGGGCGGGGTTGGCGTGGGAGAGGGTAAAGGTGTGTGGCGCGCCTGATTAGTGGGTTAGCTGGGTCGGTTGGGCTGAGTGCATTCTCTACACAGATTGCATCCAGGTGCAATATAGCAAAAAATTATATATATATATATATATATATATATATATATATATATATATATATATATATATATATATATATACACACGTGTGTGTTTTCTGGTCGAATTTGAATTGTAAATTTAAATTTTTTTGACGGAAAAATATATTGTAGGGGCGGTTGACTGAACCGCCCCTCAAACATGTGTTATAGGGACAGCTGGTACTACAGCCGTCCCTACAAATCGATTTTATAGAGGCGGCTGGTGTTACCCCTACAAATTGATTTGTAGGGGCGGTGTGCAACCGCCCCTACAAATACATGATTTGTAGCCACGCTTTGGTAGGGGCGGCTGGCCATACCGTCTCTACAAATCATCTGGAGCCACCCCTACAAAAGGTTTATGTAGTAGTGAAGGCCAGACAAAAAAAAATGGATTGAATTTTTGGCACTTTAATATGAAGGTATAGATAGATTGGTTGCCTGTATTGGTCTCTATCTAGACTTATGCAATACAGTTTACTTGTGTTTGATTGCCTATATAATGTCATATGTAGGCTTTGCATAGTGTTCGGAAGGGTCAAACTTAATAATGACATTATTAGCAGTGATGTTGGTCGAGCCTTATAATGTTATCGGCGGTGGCGTGATCGACTTATAGGGGCCTCAATCTAACAACATTGTTGATGATGCCAATATTAATGGTGATAGTATGACTGACTCAGGGGGGTCGAGCTTGACAATGTTGTGGCAACATTGTTAGCAGCGGCATGATGGACTATTGTCGAGTCTGACGACATCAATAGTGCTGCAACATTGTCGGTTGTGACGTGACCAACTCCAATTGAGCCTAGCAATGTTATTGATGGGGAAATCTAGGCTCCCAAAGCACACATAGCCTGACGGGGAGCAAAGTTGATGATGATCCTGATCTTGGGGGGCATCTAGATCTTGTAGATCAAATCTATGCGCACTTCCCCTACCTAGAGCACCAATTGTCTATGTTTTGGGCACCCGCAATATGAATTGGGCATTGACAAGAGAAACTAGATGCTAGCACATGGGATACAAGGTTTATATAGGCTCGAGACCTTGGGAAGAGGTAATACCCTCCGTCCTTTGTTTGTGGTTGTATTGCTTATTCATAATATGCGAGATGTATGATGAAATGTGTTAATGTGTTGCCTAATGATGATGTACCAAATGTTCCGATTTAAGGACCCCTGCCCTTCTTATATAGTCCGAGGGAGGGTTAGAAGTTGGCTTCCTCTCCTACTTAGTTGCACTACCTATTTGGAAGTTGTTGGAGTGCGTGTCTTGAAGCCATTAGAAGCTAAAGCAAGTTTGCAACACTACATCCATTATATGAGAGCTTATGCATCAAATACATCCAAGGCTATTTTTGGCTTTGGCAAAGTGCCCTTGTAATCTTCGTGAGTTGGAGCACATGGTTCCTTGATGGCTCTCTAGAGGTGTCGACTCTCCAAGCTTGGTGTGGAGCGGTAGCGACTTGGTTTGCGAGGGACGAACAAACCTCTTTCTTGATAGAGAAACTCCATAGTGAAAGTGCCAAGGTGATCGAAGGAGTTGGGCAATTGTGGTGAGTTTTATTGGCTTGTGGCCCTTACCCTGAATGGCAAGATTCTTTGTGGCGAGCTCAACACCATGACAAGGAAGGCTTGGTAATGAGAAACATCCTTGGTGGAAGTCTAACATGGATTAGGGGTTGTGTTTTGGTCATTGACACCACAGGACGAAACACATCGCCGTGATTGAGAGTTTGCCCCCATTGACCTAAGCTAATTACTTACCGTATTGCTAGTGTAAAATCAAGTAGAATCCCTATGTTAAGTTTTAGTGACCCCATTAACCTCATCCGTCCCTTCATGTGGCCATCGCCCCTGTTCACCATGACCAATGCCACCAATCTTTGCTTCTAGTGTAAAATTAAGTAGAATCCCTATGTTAAGTTTTAGCGACCCCATTAACCTTCTCCTTCCCTTCCCATGCCCAATGCCACCAATCTTTGCCGCCCATGACAATCCTCTACACTACACCAAATCTGCATAAAGTCTAGGAGACCACCCTTTAAAAAAAACCTTAGTATCTTCAAAAGCTCCTTGAAACAACTCACTAATTTTTTTTTTTTTTTTTTTTTTGCAAAGCGAAAATTGGCCCTCCAACAATTTTGTAAAACAACTCTCTAAAGATAATCTTTCCCTCCACTCCCAGATATGTGCGTCAGTGCATTAATTTGCTTTGCCTTTTCTATTAGCAATCTTCAAATAATTTTATCCCGCAGAACGTTTACCTAATTTGTAATATGATGCTATCACTGTATTTGTTACAGTTAAATCCACAAAACAAGATCTCACATGATTACAATATAAAATAAATAAATAGCAAGTGAGTCCCACGTGTCATAATCAGTATGGCCATCATTATCCATCAACCAAACAGAAAATTCGCTCATCCCATCTAAGTCTGGTCCAACCGAACAAACAAAAAATTGACTCACCCCATCCAAAACAAACCAAACAAACATCATAGATCATTCTATTCTAAAATCCATGAACGACCATATCCCACCTAACCTTGTTGTCAAATCAAATATACCCTAAGTAATTCCCATTACAACCTTGTTCAATTTGGTAGTGATTGGAGGGGAATTAATCCCCTCAGGTAAGGGATTAACTCAAAAGGCCTACATGGGAAGATGAAAAAAAAAGATGGAGAATGCTGAAGTCTTCTTGCGATTGTCTCGCTACGAGTCCTCTTGCTAAATGCAGTGTCCTTGTTACACAAATTAACCACAAGTTGTAAGATTGTAACACCCTACAGAAATCAATTAAGCAATCTCTTCGCTCCTTGGTTTTGCCGATGTTCCCAAATTGGCCGAATATGAGTACGTTAACATAATTTTATAGTGTGATCATTCAAACTTCCGAGAGACTATCGTGCAGCATACTGAAGGACAAACTATGTTATGTCTAGCAATGTTGTATTTGGTCAAATTTCACCTTCTGATTTTTCAGTGTACATGCATTCTCAATTTGACATGCTGGGCCGTTGAGCATTCCATTTTTTGTCTATTTCTGACAAAAGTAACACATTTCAAAATGGAAGCGTTGGGCTATTTACAGCAACTGAGTGACGAATAGCAAACCACTAAAATGGATGGCCTGCCTCATCATGCATGATTCGATGCAAAGATCACATGATTATTATTCTTTCGGAGGTGATGGTATCTCAGTACATTACAAATGAGTACCATACAAATGAGTACCAAGGCTGCACTGCTTAGTCACTAATGTTGCACACTGACAAGAACTTTTGAACTGCATTGTGGTACTGAGTTCCCTGTGGATGCATAAGATAGGTGCTTACAAAAATTGGAGAAATAATGTAATAGAGCCTCAAGCCCTCAACTAGATACAGTAGAAGATTAAGTACCTCCCAATAGAGTTGATTGCAATCGGTACACTTCCAGAACTCCAGATTTCGGTTGAACAAGCACGAGGGAATAACCTGGAAACCTTTTGAAGCTTCAACAGCTTCCTCTAGGGTAAGTGGTTTCTGAATAAAACTACCATTGCATTTTGTGCACCTAGACATAAGTTGGTCCTCAGAGATCTTTAATTGGAAGGTATTAATGACCTAAAACAAGCAAGTTAATAAACTGATCAGTTAGCCACTTAGCCCCCAAATCTCCTCAGTTACTCCGGCTACTCAAATAGAAACATGAAAACAAGTATGGTGCCTTGATAGAGATTCCTACGTAAAACTACAATTTCCCCTCAAAGACTCCTGATATGTGCTACCAGTTCACAGGTGATAACTTGTACACTCATGTGGTAACACCTCATTCCTAATGAGAATGCTGTGCATCCAAATCAAACGTGCTAGGAGAAACAAACACCAACTTGATGTGTTGCAATATTTGAATGGGATGAATTCTCTGCACCATCGCACTTGGGTTCGAAAATGACATGGTTGTGTTGCTAACATGTGGCCCCAGGGCACACCTATCAACCTCACATCGTATTTTGGAATTTATGATCTTTAAGATGGTACTCAACCAGTCAACCTATCGTTCTCTATTCATATAATCCTAGTTCTTCATCATTAATTTTATAAGTTCCAAAACTTAATGAAAATTCCTTGAATCAATTGAGGAAATATCATGTCATCTTTTTCTTCATCCAGTTATAAAGCATGGGTGACTAACAAAGGAATTAAATTAAGCTTTAATCAGTAAACAACAGTAATTAATAAAAGTAAACATCAATTTGCCATTTATATTGATTCTTGCTAGAAACTACTCAAACTCCTTGTCTAACTTTGGATCAGTTGATACAACTGCAGTTGAAAGGTTCTCTCCTGGTTGAGCTGATAGTGGAGCATTTACTGTCAGAAATATGATTTATTAGGTGCTACATAAGCATAGGTTAACCAACAAGGAAGCTAAACTTTCCTTCAATTTGGTGACCAAACCTATGGTTTTAACAATATAACCAACATGACCTTGAGCCATGGGAGATTTAGCATTAACTTGTGAAAGATGTTGTATAAATCATATTTAAGATGGAAAATATCAAAATATGCACAAACCTCAGCAAGTTGATCATGTTTGAGCAGGCTTTTCACTCTGTATACCTGGTAACCTGCTAAATATTGATATTTCAAGAGCTTGGCATCCCGTGTTAATAATATCCTTCCTTCCTTGTATGTTTGATTTAATAGATCCCTACAGGTGAGTAAAATAGGCGGCAAGCAGCACAAGAAAAGGTAAATGAGAACTCCTATCAATTGAAATTACATTAAGAATGTTATAAAATTATAGCAGAAAGTATAGTGAAGACCTTGGTTCAGGTTTCTTTGAAGATGGAATTGCAGCATCTATTCCAACACATCGCAAGTGCTTAGCTAGGCCCTCAATCTGTTCAGATTTATTGTAAGGTCAAACCAGCAGTTTGTGAACAGGGAACATAATTGACTCGTATGGTGTTAAGTTTTTGTTAAACCTAAGTCAATCTTATCCACTGCAGAGTGGTAATAAAAAAATATGAATTGTACAGCTGTTGGGGGTAACGAGATCAGGAGAACCTACCATCACATCACACAAGAACTTTGGGTATCCATCCCCACCAATGGAAGGATCCCATGGAGCAGGGCCTTGCCATTCACTACTGCAATCCACTTTATCTTTGCATTTGGCATTGGCAGGAATCTTCAGTTTTTCTTTTTGTCTTGAGGTACGTGGTTTTGCATCACATTCTGTCAAAACTATCTTCTCACTGTACTTGGTTACTATGGACATCAAACAACTACCCGAGCAAATGTCATATCCAGAAGAAGAGCATTCTATCACCACTGGTGAGCAATGCCTGTCTAAAGTAAGTTCTGTTGTAGATGAACATTTTCCTGTAATAGAATCGACAGTAAAAGAATATGAAAGGAAGTCAGAAATAGAAAAGTCATTCTTAGTACTAAGATGACTTTCAAATCTAGCAAAAAAAATTGCTTAGAGAAAATAGAAAATAAATTAAGAATGAGAAATTAATAAGAATTACCTTCCATTGTGATCTTTTTTTGAAACAGATCAAATATGTCTAGCAAGTAGTAGGCATCCGATGCAGCATATTGTATTTGCCCCTCACTCAAGGGACGGCATGACCAATCACTACATTGGAGTTCCTATTAAAATAAAAGGGCAAGGATAATAATTAAGAAAATCAACACCAATGCTTTCAAAGACATTGCTAGTGTTGGAGCCTTGGCCGAGCAGGAAGGTCAGGCTCAAATTTGCCTCACAAACTTAAGTGAAAATAGGCAATTCCAAGACCAGCTATGATCAACTTGAAACTTATAGTGCATTTGACTACTGGGAATATACATGAGCATAAAAACACACTACTTTGGCTAGTCGCCGCCTCGCCGGAGTAGTGCATTTTTAGGTAGCAGTCGCATCCGTATATTTTCCCTGGCGCAAATGTGCTTGTAAAAATTCCTGGGTCTGTGTTGATCAGGTACGTGTTGAACCTTACGGAGGACGATAACCATTATCAAAACCAGAAGAAAGGCTACGAACAAACTCAAGCAGACAAGAACTTTCAAAAGGATACACACTGATCTGAAAACAAGGAACAGTAGCCTCATTTAACAAAGCCGCAAAGTTTTGGACAGTATAACCTATGTTTGTGCTCTGGACTCTCTTGTGAAGTATTTAAAAAAGAATAACCTCAACAAGTACATACCACTTCTGACAAATTGAAGTTCCAAAAATGAAGGTAAGACATCTTATCAACGCTAACCTTGGATAAAAAGACACTGAGCAAATCCTCACAAATAGTTGCCAAACTCTTGGTCTCCTTTGGAAGCTTCTTCTGCCTGTCATGGCCCTTGAGATAGTAATAAATGTTGGTGACATCCAAGAAAGGCTCCACCTTGCAGAGAGGAATACCAGCATGGTTATCTTAATATAGAGAAAACAATGCTCATCCAAAAATCTTGAAAATCAAATAAAAAGGGTAAATCCTAGAAACACTCTCTGAATATAAAAATAAAAAACCGTGAAAGATCAGCACACTTATTTTCAGGTACCCACACCTAATCTATGCAGATTGATAATTCAGTGTATTAATTAGGAGCAAATAAATCAGATTATGATGAGTAGATGATGTAGTATGATGATGGCTCAGTAATTGGGGAGATAACACTGGTTTAGAGGATGAAATGCAAGTATGTAATAAGCCCTAGACTTTTGCCCTGCAATCAAGGATGAATTGCCTCAGTCTTGGACTTTATCAGCAAAAGGGAATGCAATGTGGATCATAAGATGCAATGCATTAACACATGGTTGGCCCACATAATTGGCAGTCTATCGCTGAAGTTTGGTTGGTATTTGATTTTTGCTCGCTTTGTTGGAGCAGCATAAAAGACCCCCTAATTTTTTTCAATATACATTGGATGTACAAGTATGATTACTATTAGGCCCATGTTCTCTAAAATGTCTGTTGAGAAAGGGTGGAAACTAGTAGTTTCTAAAATAATGTCCTCTGAAAAAGTGCAACTGATAACCATCACTAGCTGTGCAATTCTGCAGGCTAAGCTGCTAGTTGTAAAGCATTTCCAGAGCTTAATTCCTTTCCCTTTCCCTTTCCCTTTCCCTTTCCCTTTCCCACAGAAAAGCTGCTAAAACCAGAGGAGTTGATCCTGTAGAATTTGGTTCTAAGCAAGCAGTTCAAAGTTTAAGCCTATCCCAGCACATGTGTATCCATTACGCGGGGATCACTAATGTAACCCCAATTTGGAAATTTTACATCAATGTAGCCTCCAGGAAATGAATGTGAGGCTTGCCACGACATTTGGTCAACACGCCCTTACCCTATCGAATCCGGAGTCGCACCCGAGGGCGGCCGAGAAGGTGGAGGAGAGGTACACCAGGTCCTGCCTAAACCTGAACCCCAGCTTCAGCGCCTCAGGCCGCTCAAACAGCTCTCGCAGCGGCGCCCACAGGTCGGCGAGCGGCACGGAGAGCAGGTCGACGACAAACACCTCGCTGCGCTCGCCCTCACCTCCATCGCCGAAGCGGCAGGCCACCTGGAGCAGCGTCACCGTCGGGAACTTCGGCGGCGCTGGAGATGCCTCGGACGCCAGCGTCGTGCCGTCGCCCAGGGCCGCAGGGGCAGCAGCGGCAGCGGCAGCGGCAGGGCTGCCGCGGCGGCGCGGCTTCCACTCTGCGTCAAGGGCGACGACGCGGGCGGCGGCGAGGGAGCGGAGTAGGAGGGCGAGCTCCGGCGAGGACCCGCCGCCGGTGACGAGGTGCACGGCCAATGGGGGCGGTGGCGCCGGCGCGGGGTCCATCGCTGCGGGAGACGAAGGTAAGCGAAATGGGAGCAGGACTCGTGCGATGGGGGGGCTGGGGGGCTGGGGGCCGCGCCTGCGCGTATACGTCGAAGCCGCGGTGTACGGTGTATTCGTAGTGAACGGCGTATACGAAATTGCCAATAAAGCAGTAGACCGTATCTGCGATGTGCAGTTGTGCACAAGCTGTCAAGCTAGCCAAACATTTTTATTTACGATAATGCTATCAGAGGTCCGTCCGTACGAACGTCATGCACCACGCTCTATCTCGCTGCTCTCGCCCACGCTCAGCCTGTTCGTCTGGCACGTGCTTATCGTATATGATTATAAATTTTTAGTCGGAATAGTATTTTTTCTCACACAAACCAGGCAGCAGTACTTTTTCACGAACCAGCAACGATACGAATCAGCCAACCGAACAGGCTGGCTGCTCGCTCCTGCATGTGACGCGTGCCTCGCCCACGACACTGTTGCCTCTCGTCGCTCGCCCCGCTCGTCACGTGTCTGGCCCATGCAGTGTCGCACGGCCCACCCGTCGTGCCGCCAACCCTCGCCGCGTCCCCACCCTGCGTGTGTGCGCTGCCTCTTCTCTCCCCATCTCTTGTTCTCTATCTCGCGTCCGCTAATAGCAGAGCGCCTCCCCGACCTCTTCTCCAACCCCAACGCTGTCGAGATGCCTCGTCGCAGCTGCCCCTACTGATGGTCGTTGGATGCACGTGTCGACCCCGCCCGAGCCAAGGGCACCCGCAAGCGTGGCCGGATGCTAGTGCTGCTCGCGCGTCGCCAGTGGCCACCGGCTCCCACCCTGACGGCGGGAGTCCACGAGCCTAGGCCCTCTTTTCCTATATTGCAAATATATGTTTCAGTTTCAGTCGTTTTAAAGATATGTTGCAATTGTTTCTTATAGATGTTGCAAAAATAGATTAAGGATGTTGCACATGTTGCATGTATTGCAAGTATTTCAGAGGCATGTTGCAAGCTTTTGTTCAAAATGTTTCATCTATTCCAGACTTATGTTGCAAGCGTTTTGATCTGGATGTTGCATCTGTTTTGCAATGGCTATGTTGCAAGTGTATGTTCTAAATGTTTCATCTGTTTCAGACGTATGTTGCAATTGTTTCATAAAAGTGTTACAAAAGTAGATCTCAATGTAGGGATATTGAGCGAGGTAGAGAGAGCTAGCACAGGAGCCATGGCGGCGGCGTCTGGTAAGCTGGCGGCAGCGCTCCACTGGAGGACGCACTGGGTCACGTCCGTGCTAGCGCACGCGGCCCGTCCCCGTACGACAATGCTACCTCCGTTGGCCCCGCCGGAGGTCCTAAAGCAGAAGTTTGTGGCACAATTGAAAGTGCATCTAGCCCTTTACTGGGTTTTGGATGATTGAATGACAACGTGATTAAAGGCCTAACCTGTTTGCTAAGTGTGAATAGAGAATATGTTATCTCACAGATACTTAATGAAAGCCAAAATGATGTGTTGTTGTATAGACAATCCAGTTCAAGCACAAGACAATAATGCAAATAGAATTCATGTAAAGGCTTATTTATTGTGGGATTTCCATGTACTATGTGAAAGCAAGCTCGGTAAGAATTAATTAATGAGACATGAGGGATTGTATATGCAATAGTCTCATATTTGAAGCTTGCTAAATTGAAATGAAAAAGATAACAATGTAAATGAATGGATGATTCAGCACAAGATGTGATTTGATGGCTTGAGATGGTGAAAATAGCAAGAAAAGGCTTCGAGGTACTAAGCAAGATGAAGGGCAAGCGACAGCTTAGCGGCCGAAGAACCTAGCTAGGGTGAAGAACGAAGTACTTGCATTTAGTTGAGGTACTAATCAAGTTATGATGGTCATGTTGATGTGGATGATTAAATCACTATTGAAGTGTTTGGTGTAAGTGACTTGATACATTTGGGATTATTCATATTTGATGAATGGAATCAAGTCACGTGCTCAAGATGGCTATGCTCAAGTAAAAAGATCAATATCGACATGTTGGCACTCTCACTTGATGAAGATTGAAAGACACGGCATCAATTCAAAATAGATCAACTCAAGCAGTATAAATTTATTTTTCCTTTGATCTTGAGTTTAATATGTATGCCGTACTATTAAGAGGGATGCATCATGTTGATAGATAATGTTTCATAAGTGCTCAAGCCAACCCATGTGAGTTTTGAGTGTTTGAGAGACAAAAGACCTAACTTGTTTTTGCTGGTCTGGCAATACCAGACGTGTTCGGTATTTGCCCAGCCATGAAAAAATTATTTGTGTTCTCGAGTTGGTTCATCGGGAGTTTCGACTGTCGGGAGTTTCGGTAATCGTCGAGAGTTTCGACGTCCCGACACCTAACTGACTTGGAGAGTTGACTGCCTGGTCACACCAGACGTGTCCGGTATTCTATCGGACGTGTCTGGTATAGTAGGCCAGAGCCCAACGGCTTGTTTTCAAATGAGCTGAGGGTCGGGAGTTCCGACGTGAGTTGGGAGTACCGGCATTCGTCGAGAGTTCCGACGCCTCACAACAATACTTTACTCAGTTACCGTTGGCGCAGTGCAAGTCATACCGGACGTGTCCGGTATGCATACCGAACATGTCTGGTATTCCAACGGCTAGTTTTTCAAAGGGGCTATAAATAACCTCAAGCCTCCTGAAAGGATCAAGATGCCCAAGTGGGGGGTGAATTGGGGTAATTCTAAATTTCTTTGCAATAATTAAATCCTACGGTTAGCCCAATTAACCCCTTGTGCCTAAGAAGTGTTTCTAGTTGTTCTACTGCACAAATGACTTGCAACCTAAGTTCCAATCATACTCTAGCATGGCAATTCTATGAATTGTAAATACAATAATTGAATTGCTCAATGTAAATACTTAAAATAATTACTCAAAGGAAATACTCAAAGTAAATGCTCAAAGTATCGGAGAGTTGCCACTCCCCACTAGTCCTCGTTGGAGCACCCACGTAAGGGTGTAGCTCCCCTTTGATCCGCGCAAGGATCAAGTGCTCTCTATGGGTTGATTCTTCGACACTCCGTCGCAGTGAATCACCCACAACTTGAGTTGGGTCATCCACAAGCTCTCCGGATGATCACCAAGCTCTCCAATCACCACCAAGCCGTCTAGGTGATGGCGATCACCAAGAGTAACAAGCACGAACTCTCACTTGACCACGACAAGCCTAGGGAGAAGGGTGGATGCACACTTTGCTACTCTTGATCTCACTAATGAGGGCTCTCTTTGGGATTCTTAAATCTCAATTACCTCACTAGGACCTTGCTCTTCTTGGCACTCTCTAAGGTGTGTTTCAACTGTTGAAATGAGCAAAAGTAACTCCACACACGAGTGGAGCTTCTATTTATAACAAGGGCTGAAAAATAAACCGTTATGTGCCTCAGCGGGGTGACCGGACGCTCCGAACAGTTCAACCCGCACACCAGTGTTTAAGTGTTGACCGGACGCTGGCAGGGTCCGATCACCACTGACCGGACGTGTCCGGCCGCAAATATCCCTCACTAGAACCTTACTGTACTCGACCGGACGCTGAACCCCTAGGATCTGGTTAGTACTGACCGGACGTGTCTGGTCGCAGAATTCCTTCTCTGGAACCTTACTGGAGTCGACCGGACACTGGTCCTCAGCGTCCGATCACTCGACCACTCAGCGTTCGGTCGCGCCAGACGCAATCTCCTTGGTCAAATGAACTGACCGGACCCTGCGGCCAGCGTCCGGTCGCACCGGAGCCAGCGTCCGGTCAGTATTTGACCCTCCATTCACTTCCAACTCTCGATCATATGTGAATGAAGTTTGCTCCATAGGATCTAAGGGCTTTGTTGGAGCTACCTAGTGCTAGACTTAGCAAATGTGCACCACACCTAACTCACTAGACTCACCTAGGTCAAGCTACCCGTCCATACCCCCCTTAATAGTACGACCAAAGGAAAAACAAAGTCCTAAACTACTCTAAGTGTCTCTCCAACTCCAATCGACACTTAGAACTAGTCATCCTTAACCTTGCCGTCCATCCTTTGAAAACCGAAATGATTTCCATCGTAGGGGCATGACATCATGATTGCCCAATCGATCTCCATTACCATGACCTAACTTAATTGCCTCTGCAAAACATACGTTAGTCATAGTAATCTTGTATTGTCATTAATCACCGAAACCCAACTAAGGGCCTAGATGCTTTCAATCTCCCCCTTTTTGGTGATTAATGACAATACCACCTCGAGTATGTAAAAGAGTTGAGGTTTTTATCATGCTTGGATCATATAAGCTTTTGTCAATAAGAACAAAAGAGTTAGGCAAGCTTATATGACCCAAGCCAACATAATGTACTCAAAAGATATGAAATAAGCATGAGTATAAGTAATAAAGCTCATTTGCATCGGAGTATAAACGCGGAAGCAAGGCAAATGAGCATAGCACAAGTGATATGACATATAAATAGTTATGAAGTAGAGAGCACACATGTCATATATCACAATCACGTAGATATCACTATCACATAGATATAGTTTAATGCATGAAGGTAAACACACGAATGCATAATAGTAATAGTGTATCACACAAATAAAACTCCAAATGTATATAATAGACTAATAGCTAACTAGGCTCCCCCTAAAAGTTGCTCCCCTGAGTCTACATACTCGAACCCTCTCCCCCTTTGGCGTCAAACACCAAAACCTAAGGGTCGGTCGGTGGGGCTACAGCGAATGAGTCGGGCGCTGAAGTACGAGGAGCAAGCGTGAACTGGGAGCCATCATCATCTGACCCTGAGCTCTGTACTGACTGATCCCCTGTGGCTGGAAGCATCGCTAAAGCGGTCTGGGTCTGAGCTGGGGCAGGTGCTGCCTGTGATGCTGCTGGTATGTCTGTCGTAGGATCTGAAGATGCGACAAAAGAAGGGAGCCTTTGAGTAGTCACGGCGACGGGAGCTGCTGTAGAAGGACCTGGGGCATGCATATGTGGTGGTGTAGGCATTCCTATCAAC